CGTTCAGTGCGCCACCTGGGAGCGGCGTCGCGAACCAGATAGCAGACGGCGAACGGGCGGGTATAGGCCGTAGGAAATGCACGTCTGCCATTTTTGTTATCTTTCTAATAATTCGCTACTCCCGAGTTGACGTCTGAAAAAAATAGGCAAAAAACTTTGGAAGAAACGACGTTCGTGTGCCCAATTTCAGGTATGCATGTTTGAAATTCGATTTTTGCTAGGCGTGCAAAATGTGAAAGTTTTTACGGCCGCACCCTGTACATTTCTCCCTCCTTCCATATAACTCACATCAACACCTAAGTTGCACTGCCCTAATTTATTTTCCATTTTACTGAGGTCTATCACGAAGAGCGGAGGTTACAGTGGACAGGCCTGCCTAAATCTTCTTTTTATTGTTATCACTACCTTATTATCTGTGTACATCTGCTCAAGAAACCTAACCGATTTTGTATCTAAATCATATACTCCTTCAGCTGACCCCAGAGATTTTCCTCGTTCACATTATAGTACGCTCCCTTGAGTTCCGAATAAGATAACGATAAAGGAGTTTGGTTCTTCATTGCTATTTATATACATTGAGTGGTGACGAATAAGTTATCTTCCAGTCTTCGATCTCTTCGGAGTCCATTTTAGAGCTCGCCCTGTATTTGCATATCTTCTGTCCATTGCTCCATTCTACGCTTAACTATCTGCATAGCTAATCTGTATAGAACTGAAGTTACCGTTATCGGGCGATATGACTTAATGCTGTTTTTGTTTCCTTTGCCTTTATATATTAGCCTCATTTTACTTAGTTTCCAATCATTGTGTGCCTCTCCTTCCATAATTACTTGGTTCATCATATGTCGTAACTTCAATTTGCTTGTTTTTGCTAGTGTCTTTATGAGTTCCATGGGTATGTTGTCTGGGCCTATCGCTGTGCTTGCTGGAACCTTACTTTCTGCCTTGTCCCATTTTTTGTAGTCGTCTCCATCGTTACACAATTTCGTTCCTCCTCAACACTCCTGCTGACCGTGCTGTTCACTGCCTCCCTCTGGTCAAGCTGGGAGAAAGACTCTTCGATTTTCTGCCTAATATATTTACGTGCCCCTTCCCCCTCTACTCTTCTCCCCTCCTGTGTGGTCAGTAAGTGTGGGATACCCTCTGTCTTTTTCCCCTGCGCTTTAACGTGCTCCCATGCTCTCACTAATGCTAATAACCAATGTTGCCAGATTGGGCTATTAACAGCCAAATTGGGCTACATCTTGTTGTATTTGGCATCAAAATTTAGTGGTTGCCTTTGTGGCTATTCTGGTGCTATTTCTAATTATTGCTTGGCCTCCCTATGGCAAAAGATACACCCTAACTCTAGTTCAGTCTGCAAAACTTCCAGAATATCACCGTTTCGAAAGCAAAACAGTTAGCATGTAAAATAAGGCCTAAGAAGAAATGGTCGATGATGTATGGAATTTTATCCATACGTTGATGACAACCCTTCTTCTTTACGTATTCTTTTTAGTGTTTTGAAAGTTCCAGGAAGGACTACTAGGGCTATTTTGTCGGCAAAGGGTTCAGTCTCGTGAAGAGGCGGTTTTTGTTTAGACAGGGGGAAGTGTTTATTGTTGGGGTTGTATTTTTCTAGAACCGATGCTTCCAGTTCACAAGTGGGCTTACTGTTAGGGGTTCAAGTGAAGACCATTAATGATTCAAACTACATAACAAGGATTGGGCGAAATCTGTAACCAAAAATGGTTCTGTACGTCGGTGGTCGGAGGTATGTGCGTTGCTAGGTTTTTCACAAAATAAACACAGTCGCTGAGCTTGAGACGTTCCTTTTTTTGTGTCAGTTTAATGCGATAGCATTCTTTAGCTACTTCACCCGGTTTTTGAGATGCGCTTTCTGGCCTCGGGTGGGCCGTGCGTATGTGCGGCGCGTCCGAGCTGCACGTACGTTTTACGACCACGTTATAATCCTAAAAAAATTGAAAAAGTTAGATTAATCTGTTTAGTACGTTAGTTAGGTAACTAGGTATCTCCCTTCGCCCCGTTTACTGTTGTTCCCATGGTTATCTGCCAAGCCCCCAGGCTGAAACGAAAACCCTAACGCAACTGATTTCTTAAAAAAAATTCAGGTTCCTTTCAAATAAGCAGTCACCCTCGGTCAAGGTCAAGGTTTATATGGTCGACAAGAAAGTGGGACAAAAAAATTAAAGACGTTTACAATCCCCTGTAACGCCGAATTAGAGCACAGTTCTTGAGGAAGAGCATGGGAGGGAATGGAAACGAGAGTATTCTCTTTCTCCTCATCTGTACCATCCTCTCCTGCTCATTTCCCATTTAGCGGGAAATTTTCGCGAAATTTCCCGCTAAATTCAGTGGCAACGTTTCCCCGCTAAATTTAGCAGAAAAAATTTTCCGTTAAATTTAGCTGGGACATTCTTCTGATAACTTTAGCGGGGGAATTTACCCAGTTTTGCGGAGCGAGTGACGCTGCACACTCTGCGACTGCACTGCGGCTTCTGCTGTTGACGAAGCAGTTTTGAATTCTTTATACACTTTTCAGGGTCGATCTATCAAGATTGTCCGAGCTGATAAAAGCAATCGGCAGCGTCGAATAAACGTTCAGTCTGTAAGCAAACCAGACACGCTGTCCATGGCTCCTTTCTTCAGAGTTTAGTTCAATGGCGACGAGATGACCGAACCCAGCGCCTGAAACCGGTCAACTCATGCCGCACCACACGCACCATGGCCGTCGCGGTTCCTCAGTTCAACGAAAGTACAGAAAAGTGGACCTCCTATTTGACGCGCTTGGGAGCGTTCTTCGAGGGAAATGCGGTGACCGACGCGGCGAAGAAACGAGCGTTGCCAGTGTCAGCACTGAGTACAAAGACAATTTAAATTTTGTAAGCATGCAGTTCATCGACAGCTGTCGATAAGCTCACGTATGCCGAAATGGTGGAGCAGTTAGGTACTTACTATACGCACCAAAACTGAACGAAATCGCTGAGAGCTTCAAGGTTTTTAAAAAAGGATCAGGATCCAGACGAGTTCGTACAGGAGTAATGCGTTGCGCTTCGCCGCCTAGCAGAGACCTGCAACTTCGATGACACTCGCGAGCGTCTACTCCGTGATCGCATTGTCCGCGGAATCACAAACGCGGACGTCAGGAAACTGTTGCTCACTAAAAGAGACTTAACCCTACAAGCGGCCGAAGACATCGCTTTCGCTGCAGAAGCCGCGACTCTAAACATCGCAGGCATGAAGCCGACGCCGGAGTGAGATGTCAACGCGATGACTCAAGGCCCGCATCGCCGAGCGCCTCTTGTTCGAAGCTATCGTAAGAACATGACTCTCGTCTGCTCACGCTGTAGGAACTCGTTGCGCGACGCGGGATCGTGCAAGTTCAAAAGAGCCTCATGCCATCACTGTGGACGAATTGGGCACATTGCCCGATGCTGTCGAGATTGGATGACTCATTAGAAACGGGGGCGCGACCTTCAGGAAAAACCATGAAGCTGAAATGAACGTTATCGAAGGAAGCGATAGCATATCAGACGAGAAAGGAAGCTTGTTGACGCTCCAATGCTCCCACGCCAGGTCAGACACTTCGGTTGGTTTAGTGGAACCGGTAATGAGGAAGATTGTTTGGGCCGGGGTGGCAACTCAAGATGTTAGTAGACACAGGATCTCCCGTGAGCGCAATACCACAAGACGTCCATCACAAGTACCGAAACTCGTGGCCGAAGCTTCAGAAGACATCGGTTCGGTTGTCGCATTTCCTTGGAACATTGCCCGTGTAGGGAGAGTTGAACATGCCCCAGACAACGCAAGGACATCCTGAGGACATACTAAGGTTGTCGACATGGGGACGTAAAGACCTCCCGAGGACGTTTCTACGGGGTCCTCAAATGATCCCCAGCAGGTCCATTTGTCCGGCCCCACCACGTGGTGAGGACGTCCTGGAAACGTCCACACAGATGACATAAGCACGCCCTGAGGACATCCTAACGGCGTCCCTATGTGAAAGGAGAGACCTTCCCAGGACGTCTTTACAGGTCCTCAAATGATCCCCGGCAGGTTCATTTGTCCGGCCCCACCACGTCCTGACGGTGTCCTGGAAACATCCACAGACGACACAAGGACATTCTGAGGACGTCTTAAAGGGCACCCCAGAGATTTCTGAGATGGCCTACTTATGACCGTAACTTGATCTACGTGCTCTACGTGAACCAAAAATCCAACACTTACAGTCATCTGCGGCCTATTTCTTTATTAAAAGTCTGATCAAGGATCGCAAATCTGACCTACAGATGGTGCCACCGAACCCAGCCGAATCTGGTCCGATGACGTACGGCGCTCGCGACTGGCTCACGAGCGCCCTTCGTCGTTCGACCAGATTCGGCCGGGCTCGGTGGTGCCGTCTGTAGGTCTGAGGTTCGCGATCCTTGATCACATTTCTAATAGGAAAATAGGCCGCACATGACTGTAACTGTTGGATTTTTGGGGTGCTTAGAGCACATAGGTCGAGTTACGGCCATAAGTAAGCCATCTCAGAAATCTCTGGAGTGACCCTTTAAGAGCGTCTCGTAGAAACGTCCGGGACGCTTTTTGTAGTCCTCAAGAGAGCAATTTGTCCGGCCCCAGCGTGTTTCCAGGACGCATATCCCAAGTGTCGCCACCATACCCAGTGTTGCCTTCTGATGTACTGCAGCCAATGCTACAAGCCTATCCGGCATGCAAAGCATGTCACATGACTGGTTGGCGCAGTGACGTGCCAAGTCACGACACCCTCATGGCTGGTACAGTGCTAACGGGGAACTGCACACAATACACACAGGTTTATGATATCATATCTAAAAAATGGATTTGGGGAACTTAGTAGTGCATCCACATTGTCAACAACTTCAACTATGGTTAACATGGAAGGCAGGTTTCAGACATATCTTGCAAATGATGTGGAAGAAAGCGCAGTCCCCCCCCTCAAAGGTGGAAGGACTGTCTACTCAATATCAATAAACTCAGTGTTGTTCATAGATATAGTTTATTAATTGCCCAATGTATAACATCTGATACAGCCAGTATCTTTTGTAGTTGAAAAAGAAATTGAGATATGTCTACTTTCCACAGCGTAAGTTACAAACAACCAACGACGCTCAGTATCACTCTGGGCATTACAGGATTAAAAGTTTGACTAGAAGTTTTCCACTGTATGCAACAAATAATCTTATTATTCATCAGGCTGCAGCTTCCGCTGCTCCTTCTTCAGTTTTTCTGCGGCATGCTTCAGCCATGTTTTTATAACCTCCCAAACTTCTGCCTTGTCCGTTTCCAACCGCTTGTTTTTCTTTACGGCTCCTGAAATAAATTTGGGGATTTATTTTAACTGATTATATTGACATGTATATCCATATTAGAAACTCAAATATGTATAATGCCTGAACCTGTTTTAATTAGAGGGTGTCTATACAACCTACAGACAGAACTATAAACACTGGGATGAGGTTGCCATATAACTTGCGAGGGCCGAAAAGGCTCAATTGAAAAGGATAATATGCTAGTACTGCGGGTAACATCAAAGGAAATGCGGGAGCACACAGTACATAGCCTCAAACATTACTTCCAGTAATAGTCGCTACCATGTATCACAAAAGAACGGGTTGAGTTTACTTGCCACATGATCCCGTGTTCACTTTCGTATTGCTCACAGTATTATGTTACACGGCAAAGCTGTTGTAGCATTACAGCGTCGAAATGCATTTTTGCAATCCCAGAGCTTGCATTGTAAGTATGCTTAAATTAGCACTGAAAAAGTTTCTGAGGTTGTCTGTTCTTGGACATAACTCATTCCTAGAGCTCAAAGCGTCCTTAAGATCCACAATTCACAATCCTGGGCCACCTATTTACATATTAAAAATGTTATTGAAATTAATTTTTCTGCGATATATCGCAGAGGCTGAACCATTGCCAAACGACAAAGGGCGCTTGCCAGTCACTCGGGAGCGGTAGTTTCCCGCAAGGAGTGATTCGTATGCGCGCTACTTTTCAGTGTTGGTTCCGTCCACAGTCAGCTGTGCCCTCTTAGACGCCTAATCTCTCACAATCCTTTAGAAACCGCATTCCCCACATGATAAGAATTATGGACGGGAACCTTGGGGGCGAAGGAAAACGTCTTCCGCAAACATCGCAAGCGAACGCCCCGGGGAGCAGACGAGCTGGCACATCGCACCCTCCGAAGAAGGCGAGGGGAAACCTCATGTATTTCTATCGTCACGGGCTTAATAATCTGTTTTGTCACATGAAACTTTGAATACATATTAACTGGCACTTACTATGTTATATGAAAACAAAAACAAGCATCTACAAAAACCTCTTTAGTGCCCTTATAGGTTTAAATGGAGTCTGTCATCAAAACTATTAGTGGAATGTCATAACCTTGATTACAACATGAAATGCAGAAATGCCAATGTAGGGCCTGTGGCTTTGTCAAGCTGTCCTTGTGACAGCTTTTTACACAAGCCTCCAGTATCCTGTACATTGTACTTTATGCAAATAAATAAACATGCTACTGGTGACTTCTGCAATACTGACAGGACTTCCCACTTAGGGCACAAAGCTGTCAAGTCTGGTTCGCTTGACAGCTAGCTTGCACGAGTGAAGCAAGTATGAGAGCACCTGGCAGCCTAAACGTGAATCCGTGAAAGTTGGTTAGAAAATGCAGCATGAAAATCGCCAATATTGCGTTCACCTTTCATGATGGCAGAGCAGCAAAAGCTACAAGCACGAACTAGCACATGCACCTTCCATTAAGACCCAATGTTCCTAGATCGATCTACGAAAAAACAGCCCAACACTGTGGTTTCTTATTTATTTATACATTACATACCCAGGGCGACTTTTTGTAGTCTCCACTAAACTAACAGCTTAGGGGTGAACGGATTATATTCTGTGAACAGCTGTTAGAACAAAACTGCATGTCGGTTCTATCTCCATGTTTGGTTAAACGAGCGAATCACATTTTGTGTAGCATGGAATCTCACCCTGTGGCATGCAAGTTAGCATCGTATATTGAGTGGCCTAATATCCTGAAAGCAGCTTTCCTCTTGGATTGTGGAGCTTGGCAACACAAGAAGCCACTAAAATGCACCTTCCTGCCCCAAACATACATTAAGACTTATTCATACTTACTGTAGATGACATCCGGGTACTCGAGGTCTTTAAACTTCATCTTCTCCCTTTGACCCAGCCAGCTGAATTTCACCGCCACCTTCTGGGTCATCAACTGTTCTAGCACGCCACGAGTGTTGTTGCCCACCGACGAACCTCCAACTGCTGCCAGCTGATTGACCTGCATTGCAGTCAGTGAGGTCAATTAAAGCCTGCAATTTTAACAAAAACAAACAATAATGCCATAACACTCACAAGGCTTTCCTTTGTCGCTTTGCATGTCTTCAATTTTTTGTCAAACACCAGAAAGTCATCCACGTTGTCAAAAGGTTCTTCAAGTATTTCGTCGTTGGGTACGTTCATTGCTCCACTGCTGTTTAGGATTCCCAGAATGGTATCCAGCTGCATAGAATGCTGTTCCACCCGGAGCCAGATTGTGTGCAAAATACGAATTACTTGCTTGTCAAGACCTAGAAAGGGAGCACATTAAATTTCCTGTAGCTACACCAAAACATCCTGACTGCAAATTTACTACATGAACATATCCTCACCAGTAAAAGCTTCTTCATTCCTCTTGTGCGCCATTGCCCGATGCATCATGGTGCTTCCTTGACTTTCTGAATGTGAGAAAAGGGACAAATGTGGGACAAAATCATCATATCTAGGGTTCAGCATTTTTGGTTCACACCACTACAAGTATGCCTATCAAGAGAGGAAGCGGATTAAATATTCTGTACCTACACCAAAACTTGTCTCCAGATTTACTACATAGATGTATACTCACCACTAGAAGCTTCTTCATTCCTCTTGTGCCCCATCGGCCCATGCATCATAGTGCTTCCTTGACTTTCTGAATGTGAGAAAAAGGATAAGCCTGTGAGAAATTCGTTATATTTAGGGTTCAGCATTTACAGCTCGCACCGATACAAGTATGCCGATTCCATTTTCAAATATGTGGTTTCAAAACGTTGGCGTTTTAGACCAGAACTGTGCGCCAAAGTAGGGGATGGACTTGTCATTGAGCGCAACCCAGTATTCAGATATCTACCTGACCGCTAAGTGTCCTGTTGGCTGAGCGTTCACGGGTCAACACAGTCATTAGGGATCGCGTATGGACAGTTTTCATTCTGTCAAGCCGTTAGCTTTTATTTTATTTCTGGTCAAAGCAATAAAATTTATTTTTTTTGCAATTTCTATTGCTTGTGCTACTAACCCAATTTGACGGTCCTAAATATAGGAGGCAAGAAAAAGTGGTCCAAGAATTATGATTCACAATTTCGTGATTCGAAGTGTGTCCTCCAAACGGAAGTGGTAGCCAAGGCTATGTAAGTCTTGTCTGCATATGACGCCACATGACGATTAATTCAGATAACGGTAGGGCCTCAATGCGCCTAGAAGAGCACGCCAAGTCTGCACGGCACATGAAAGTGGAATCATTACACACTAAATAATTTAAGTGAAACTAAAAAGACAGCAAAAGCTCAAAAATATCAAGCTAACTATATTTTGGACAAACATGATTGAAAAGAGCACGTTTTGTCAATACATATTAACCGAAAAATATGAGTAAACTATCATTGCATATTCACAAATTAAAACCAACTTTCATTTAAAAAAAAAATCAGCAAATTAAAAAAAATGCACAGAGGTCTAAGTATAACCATGAAGACCAATGTAAGAACTAAATAATTTGCAGTCTGTGACAAATGTTCAACAAGTGCCATGATACCAATTTGTTGCTTACCATATCTATCGCAAAAAGTATGATGGCATATCATAAGACTATTCCCAAACTGCAGGCTGCTCGTATTACAATTAATGTATTTTACCAGACAACTCAAAGATGAAAGTTAGCAGGAAACTCACGAGAGGCTGTCTGGTGGTCTGCTTTGCTAGCCGGATGGCAAAGTGCACTGTTGCGTTTCCACTCTTCCGTATGTTTCCCCCACGTCTTTTCAGCACCTGAAAATTCACAAGCAGTTGTGTAATTAGGTAATGCTAAAGCACTTGAAAACCAAAACTCAAAAATATTTACATTCCTATTTACATTCCAGGAATTATTTTTGTGCTGACCAGGGAAAGAGTGATACCTCAGAAATGCTAAAATGTTACTTGGAAACCCTACAAATCTTAAAAATTAAACAAGTAGCAATCTGGCACAGGGTATTATTGTAACATTTTCAGAAAAAGAAATAAGCCTATGATTCCATATACCTCTTTTCTCCCTTCCACGTGGTGGTGTAGGAAGTTCTGAACAGTCTGCATCTTGTTTCTGTGTTCCATGCTGTGCTTCAGGCTCATCAGAGTCAGACGAACTCAGTTGTCAAGTTATTTTCTTTCGCTTTCCCCTGCCAAGGTCATTCTCGCTCTGGAGATCCGATGTGCACTCAGTGATCCGCAGTTTCTGTTGAGCTTTCTCATAAGTGGCTGAAAAAGTGAACAGGAACTCAGAGGGGGCAAAAAAGCAATCAAATATTACCCTTGGAACATGCTCCTAAAATTTTCTCCACGGCATGCCATAGTAGCTCAAGTCAGGTATAAGTGTAATGTAGAACCATGCTAATCCTTACGGTATGCATCCATCTCGACACACTTGAATTTCTTCCATGACGACATCGGAGTAGCTCCCTTTTTAATTAGTTCTCGCAGCCTCCTGCTCTCTTTCTCTGGGGGCCACAGGCAGCTGTTGCCGTGCACCCACTTGGTATGAACCACTGCCACTTCGTCGTCTTGTTCAGGGAACCTCACAACTAGGAAATCACCTCGTTCTACACAAATGGAAGATAAAAGAACATTGTTACACGATGCGCAAGACGCACCCAAGAAAAATTGTACTTAAAAATCCCTTGTAACTCGAAGCTAAAAAAATAACTCTAGTTGTCTACACTGGACTGCTCTAAAGTCAACCACTTGAAATTTACATCATGGTGTGCACAAGTGGAAAAACAACATGGAGCCCCTTGAATGGAAGCTTGACACACTTGTGTTGCACAGTGGCCAGCGGCCAGCAATTCAACTTGGAAGCCTGGTCCACCAAACAGATACCAAGTACAGAGGAGCTCCATGGTGATGTGTAGAAGTCCCTGCACCTCAGAAACTTGCGGCTAATGATACATGGCTCTCCTGATAGTGAGAAGTGAGCAATATTCTCAATAGTTACAATACTACCGTCACTAAGAACACAGCAGCTGTCCCTCTTGCCCCTCTTGAGCATGAACTTCGGAGTTGTGACTTTGCGAAACTGGGGCTCACGACACTGGGACAACAGTGGGCCCTTTTTGTGGTTCATATCGAGCAAAACCTCGTTACTGGCAGCAGCTTGGCTGGAAGGTACTCTCCTCTTTTCACAAATGCGGTTGTGCACCTGCTCAAGAGGGAGGTCAGGTTTTCGGAGAAGTTTCTTCAGCGAGGACATATGGTTCTCGAAAGGAAAAGCGCTCCATGCATCCAGGGGCCCAAGTGAGCGAACATCGTCAGCCAAATGTACCAAACCATGTACATTATGTGAGACATTTTCAGCTCCGTAGAGCTTTACGAAGGTTTTGACAAAATAACGCAAGAGCTTCTCGGCATAATCAATATCGCTTGAGTCGCTAGCGGGGCTTGCCAAAACAGTTATGGCAATGTGGAGGGCAAGAAAGTTCTCATACATCTTGTCTGATAGACTTGAGGAGAGGACGACTGGACCGCCATACAACAAAAAGAACCTGAACTCTGTAGCCTTCCAGCGATCAAGATCTGACAGGCTTCGTGGTTTTCGATTGAAATCAGATGGAACATAGCGTGCCAGTGCAATATTCATAGCCGACACTGTATCTCGCACCTGGCTTCCCAGTATGGTCGATCGAGGCCCTCGAAACCACATCACAAGGAGTTTGTGCACGACCCCAAGACAGACTAAGTGCATATATTCGAGTGGTACCTGTTTGACAACGTCAACCGGTAGCTCGAGCAAAATACTCGGCCCAGTGTCAAGATGGTGCTCTTCTTGAGACATGCTTCGGAAATCGGCATCTGTTCTCAGGCTCGCGGTCAGATCCGGAAAGCACACCCTGCCATTGATGTAGGTGCCCCGAACAGTGCACTTTGTGCAGCTATAGTAGCCAGTATGGCCTTTGATGCACAGTATGAATGATTTTGCTGGGGCATCGCAAATGAAGGCCCCAACACGAAGAGCAATTTTTGTGCCATTGATACAAACTCCTTCTTGCAGAAGTTCACTCAGCTCTTGCACAAAGTCGTGCAGAAAATCGTTTGCATCTGGAGGCTTGCTTTGACCGTAGAACAGACCCACAATGAATGGTGCGACGTTCTGAACGTTCCGGACTTCGCAAAGAATCGGCCAGAACTGGTTTCTCGAACTTTTTCCAAGTGGCAGGCCGTCCACGTTGAAGTTCAAGATGAGGTGTTCAGGAAGCCGGGAAATGCCACGCAGAAGTTCCTCCAGACCAGCAGCCAAGCCAAAGGGACAGTATTTCCCGGAGCCCATGTTTCTGATTCCTGGACTTTTTCTAGGTGTTTCCAGTAGGGCTCGTGCAGAACTCGGAAGTGCCGAAAAACACGAGTGACCGCGGAGAACTGCTAAAAGGGCGGTGACAACTGTGTGCGGAACAAAATTATTAATTGCCCACTCCTGGAGTGGCCTCCCGAAGCCCCTCAAGCGGTCCTCTGGGTTTTCACCATCGTTGGCGGGTTTTACGAGCAAGCGCTGCAGGCTTTCCAAAGCATGGGACTCGGCGGTGCTGGCGCCATTTCGCCGGGAGGGCTGGCCTGGCTCGCACAAACCGGCGTCGCGATGCTCGTCCACAGCACTTTCTTGGCCAGCCCCATTGACGTGTAGATCGTCCTCTCGGTCGTCAACGAACTCCCCAACACCAGCCAGCAAAGAAATGGTTTCGCCGACACTTCGATTTAGCTGACGGCGAAAGCGCCGTGCTGCAGCTGCGTTTTCCGACATGTTACTGTTGATTTCTGACATTTAGCGGTAGTCCGAAACTTGAGCTTTACTCGCACAATCAATCTGAGACACGAAAATAACAATATTAAGATCTGCTTACCTTCCTCAGAGTGTCCGTTGATTCCTCCGTCAATTTCCAGCATTTCCGGAGCATAAGCCATTTCCCTTTTCTCGCGCCAACGTGCTCCGCGCTCTTTGTTCGTACAAAATTGATAATGGCGTCATACAGTTCAGCCGCTTTTACAGCGCATAACTAGAGTATGTGTTAAACTGCAATATCAAATATACCTTAACCATTTATAACAAATAATTATTATTTTTGTTTCAGATCAATGTTTTTTTATTTAAATGCTTAAACAAGGTTAATTTACATCAACTAAAAGTTTCGTACTCAGCGTGGTTTCGTTTTCAACTGCCGGTACGGCACCCTTGCTGCGCAAAACTACTGCGTCTTATGGTTAGTC